ATGTCATTTTGTCATTGTCATCCTAAATTTGTAGCACTTAATGCTAACACTCCTATAATTATCATACAAAATTCGAAATAATTTATATTGGGCTTTGTCTTAACTACTTTCAATCACACTACTTCAGTCTATAGAAAACAATACATTGCATGTGCTGCGATTTTATTTGAATATCGAAATGCTTCACTCACTACTTAAACATTTTTTTTTCACATCTTCACTTTAAATAAAAGTAGATCTCAAACGAAAGTAAATACATATAGAAAGGAAATGTGGAATAGACAAGGCAAATTGTACTTCATGTTATAATACAAAATATCTAAAAATAACAACATTTTCGCGATTTTTTTGTTTTGATTACAAAATTAAATGAAAAGAAAATGTAAAAAAATTCCATCGTGAGCAAAATATATTGATATGAGTGAGAAGAATTAGAAACGATGTGCCTTTGATGTAACGTTAGGATTTTCTGTTTTTGTCAATAAATTCTATCTAGGAGAATTTAAATTAGGATTTATAGAGAAAAGGATATGTTGTACTTTATAAAGATATAGTTTTGAATTTTTATTAGCTAATGACTAATTTTTAAGAACTTCCAAAAAATTCTCAATTTTACAAAGAAATTTCATTTCGAGGTCAATAATCTCTTCGGAATTTTAAAAATTAATCTGCATTTTATCCGATAAAATTGGATAAAATAAAGAAACGAATGATTCAGAGATTTTCAATAAGTTAAACACCATGCATACATATGCTGACCATCTGCTTGGCTGTTCAGAGGACAGTCCTATAAATATTTTTTTTAAGAAACAAAATAGTTTTGTTTTGTTCTAATTCATCCAGAAATAAAATAGGTAGACATATGGGATGTCCTCCATTTTGCGTTCAGTTCCTCTATTTTTTTCAAAAAATATCTGGTCATCCCATGCATACACGATTAAAAAAGATTTTCTGCTTCACTCGATGAGTACATTATAAGATTGTGAAAGAATTTCTCCTGCATCATCAAAATAATAAAAAAATCTCACTTTGTGTAAGAATGGAATGTACATCTCTTCTTATTCTACTTGTTAATGTTACAATCTTTATTTAAATATCCTACATTTTTTAAATTCAAAGAGCAGAAAACAAGAAAATCTCCTTTTTACCAATATCTTAATCTGACATGTACAAATTATCGCAATTTATTCAATGCTTGAGTCATAAAAGATTTTGTTCTATTTCTGAAAGAAATGGAGTCATTAAACAGCATCTGCTTGCCAACTCTGAGCTTCAATCATACCACAGTTCATTGACTTTTTACGACAAATTTCAAAGTCTTACTTGCAAATAAAAAGAAGAACTTGTAAAATGTGCCAGTGTAACATGGATAATGAAGGATTGGCAAAAATCATGCTTCAATGTAGGCGTAGTTCTCTTTCGTGTTTCATTAGATTAAAGACAAATTTCAGTAATCTAATGAAATCTTAAGGCTCAGTCTTAATCTTTCTTTATAACCGAGTAATATGAAGATTGTTTCTGGGTAATTAGCAGCAACAAACTCCCAAGCATCTTTACATTGAAATTAATTTTGATGTAAATTTTCTTTACTGATGAATCAATAAAAATTTTGATTAAAACATCATTTAACATGCATAATCAAAACAGAATCAACATGAGCAGAAAATTGAAGCAACAACAATGAAAAAACGTTTCTGTCACTTCTGTTTTCCCCTGTATAAAGTCTAAGTCTTTACTTCTATGTCATTTAATCTCTGATTTTATCGTGATCCACATGCAGTTAATTAGCATCTAGTATTATTTACCATGACTTGCTTTTGCATTGATAACTTATTGACTCTCTGATATATATTTATAGACTTGATGATGATAAACCTTTTTTTGTGAGAATTTTTTTTTCATGCAAAAAGTATTATTTTTCGATTGATAAGTCTGCTGCGTAACAAAGAGCAAGGTAAAGTTAAATATAACGACTTCTTAAAGAGGGTCTTTTAAGCTGTTGATGTTTTTGAGGCAGATTTGCTAATCTTGATAAAGTTTTCTGCGTTCAATGCCCCAAAAGCATGAAAACTTAATCCTAGTCTATGAATTATTCAGCGTTCAATGCCCCAAAAGTGATAAGAATTAATTCTAACCTATAAAGTGTTCAGCGTTCAATGCCACAAAAGCAAGAGAAATTAATTCTAATTCAGAAAGCGTTCAATGTTCTAAAAGGAGGAAACTTAATCCTATTCTAGATAAAGTATTCAGCGCTTAATATCCTAAAAATAGGAAACTTAATCCTAAACTAGATAAAGTATTCAGCGTTCAGTGTCCAAAAAGCAGGAAACTGAATTCTAATTTGAAAGCTATGCTTCGTGACACTTTTTTGCTTCTAGTTTTATTGTAAAAATTAAAAAAAAAGTCAAACGAAACGTTGCATACAGCATTTGCATACAAATAATACTCCATGTACAGACAACAACACGTAATTGAACCTTTAACTCATAAGAAGAATGTAATATTGACACTTGAGTCATGATGAAATATCGCAAAAAAGGCGTATACCATAATTCTTCTTCTATCATTCAATCAATCAATTTCTCCTTATATACTTTCTTTCATCATCCTCATCATGCATACTGTGGATCGATAAAAGATATGATATAAAAATGAAACATAAAGTGCATTATGAAACATGCATAAATTGACTGTCCATAAAGTTTTTTTATTACTCATAATAAGACATCATTTATGAAGGTACATCATTAACCATAATTTGCTCATCGACAAGGAAATTGTAGAAAGGAAGAAATAAAGGGAGCAAAAAAATTCAACCGACGTAACCATAAACATCTTATAAGCGGAAGCACAATATGTCTAGGGTAGAAGAAATAAAAAAAAAGTTTCATACTTTCTTTAAATACATTTAAAAAAGGTATAGAAAAATTTAGTTCTGCTTTTCTTGCTACATACTCAGTCACGATTTAATGAATCAATAAATTTTGTAAATGAAGCGTACTTGCTTACTTTCCTTTACATGCCTAGGCTACTTTTTTCAACGATTAAATTAGTTTTCAAATTCTTTTCTTTTTAAGATGGATAGAGAAGTAAAATAATGTAAAATATGTATACATACAGCTTAATTTCGATGAGCATGAAGAGGAAGAGCTGCGAATGAAGATTCGATACTATAAGTAAACAAGCAAAAGAGAAGTAGTTTTAAAGAATCATGTTTCACTTTATGACTTTAGAAAACTAAAGAAAAAATTATGGAAATATTAAAATCGCGTTTTATGATCCAGCAACACGCAAACAGCTGTTGAATCACGATCATCACTTTATATTTGCAAAAATAAATTTTTTAAGTGGAATTTTATAGCAGAAGAGGAAAATTTTCGAAGGAGCTAGTGAAAATAAAAATTACTTTAAGTTAACCTATTTAAATTCTTTGCAATGAATTTGAAAATAGAAAAAAAATGAATTTTTAATTAAAGTGTGACTGCTTTTCCTTGAGAATTAGTCTTTTAAGTTTTCGCAAGTAAAATATTTATTAAACTGCTACGGTGGAAAATTATGAAGTGCAAATTTAAATGAATGAACTCATTTTCATCAGCTAGATTTATTATTTTTGTAATAAAATTGAAAGCATTACATTGTATATGCAGTAATAATATGTATTTTATTACTAAATCAGGTTCCATAAAATTATCTCAATATCGTTGCGAACTTATCATTGTCATACAAACCTAAAATTGATTTGACTAAGGTTAAAATGTTAAAAATTACCAGCGATATTTATTTGTTTAGGACTATACAAGCATATACACACATTTCGTTCTAATTTGATGAATCATATTTGTGTAGCAATTTAAAATAATTTCAAAGCAATCAAGGTTTACGTCATCAGGTAATATCAATAGATTGAAATTATTTAACGTAATTCCCATGAATTCGTTACTAGGCAGTTCAACAAAATCAAGGCTCGTTTTGTAAATCACAATTGATTTCAACTCCTTTTCCTTCTATACAAACAAACATTTTTGATTAATTAAAATTATTTATTATCCTACTTAAATTAATTAATTTCATGTTTGTACAAACGAGAGGAACCAAAAATTTTGTTCAAAAAATTATGAATTTTGAAACCATAGAGATATTAAATTACAAGCAACATTTTATAGACAAAATCATAAAATATGCTTGAGATTAATTATATAAAGAGCTTCCTATCTGAATTTTTCTTCCTTTCTACTCAGCATCAAAACTCAACTTTTGTTGGTCTATTCTTAGGTTTATTATGTAAATAATTCACTGCATCTAACTTCATCGTCCTCAGTAATCTCTTCGTGTTGAATCTGAATATGTTATTTGACTTCTCGTATGCTCACAACTTTCATTATAGTTTATTGTAATGAAAATGGGACTTTTTACTAATTAATTAGATGTCGAACCATGCTTATGAGTTTATCTTGCCTCTTCTCTATAAATTTTCTTATTTTACTTTTATTACAATACAATGTCTAAATTGAATCAATTGGCGCATCAAAAACTAATAAATAAAGTTGTAATACTTTTCCTGATGTATATAAGGGGCTGTTTGCTTTACTTTGTAGACAAAATTTACTGAATCGTCATCAAAAAGATGAATAAATTGAGAAAGTTTGTGTCAGAATCTTTTGAGACGCATTTGATCTATGTAAATATTCAGATTTTATCATTATAGTTTGGTGAGAAGTTTCAAAAAAAGTCAATAAACTTCTAATATTTCTATTATTTTATATGTGATTTAATAACTAAGCATAGCTACAGGCTATGCTAGATGTGTTGATTAAAAGAAAAATCAATTGATTATTGAATATTGAGTTAAAGTTCATACAAAATTAAAAGCAGTCATGCAGTCATCAAAAAACTTGTTCATTTAATTTCTTATCGACTTTTTTATTCAGTTACTCGATATTATTTTAATGAATATATGGTTTCACTTAAAAACTCTTAATTTAATTTTCTTCTTATTTCAGATCCTAAGTAATCAATATAATGGCTTCATCAGACAACAATAATGGAATAATTTGAGAACTAAACTTAATGAATTTGAAGAATTATAAAACTGACGAGTAAATGAAACCACCTGAGTCTATTAACACACATCTATATAAAAAACTTGTACCAAAAATAGAATTGGAATTTATAAATTCACAATCATCATCTTCTCATATAGACAAGAATAATTCTACCTATCTCAAGTGCCAGCTATGAAATTATACAATATTAATACAATGGATCGACGTTCAATAATGAGCTTATTGATTGGCATCACATTATTTCTATCGACATGGCATATAATGTTGCAGCAGCAAGAGCAATATTATGATGTCACATTACCAACGAATAACTTCATAACTCCATCATTGTCATCCCAGACAAACGAGTCAGCTGCCTTCTCAAATTTCCTTTACGATTCCCCAGAATCACTCGATCTGGATAATTTACCAAAGAACGACTTTAGTCAACTTATAGACTTAAATGATTTTAAATTTCTCATGAATACAAAAACATGTAAAGATCTCAATAAACAGCCATTAGTAGTTATTTTAATACATTCGGCACCTCATAATGATAACAAAAGAAAAACGATAAGAGAAACTTGGGGATCAAAAGATTCACGCTCATTATTGAGATTCTTTGTTGGTAATGTTAATAAGACGTCATTAGAAGAGAAAATTAATTTAGAGAATGAAATTCATGGTGATATTGTGCAAGGAAATTTTGATGATGCCTATCGAAATCTTACGTATAAGCATGTTATGGTACTTAAATGGTTTGTGTACTTTTGTCCTGATGCAAAATATCTTCTAAAAACAGATGATGATGTACTTATCAATACCCCATTACTGTATGATGTTCTAGACAAACCTACACCATCATTTAATCAGTTATATCGTAGTAAAACTATATTTTGTACGAAAGCAGAAGAGGTTCGAGTGAAAAGGACATTTAGATCGAAATGGAGGGTGTCGTTTAAAGAATATCCAGATAAATATTATCCGACATTTTGTCCTGGCTACATAATCCTTTATACAGCTGATGTTGTTCCTCAATTATATCATCAGGCACAAAAATTACCATATTTTTGGATTGATGATGTTCATATCACTGGAACAACAGCAACAAAATCAAATATTTCAATTGAGTGGCCTGGAGATGCATTCCTTATGAACTTGGACAAATTAAAAGAAAATACAAATTTTCTTTTCTCTGGACCTGATTTAACTGAGAATGAGATTAGAAGTACGTGGAAGCTCATCAAATCAAATGGTAAAAATTTGGTAAATTATAGTAGTGAAGAAAATAATAAAACCGTTCCAAAATGAAATTAGTGTTGGTATTAGGTCAAAAAAAGTAAAACAAATATAATCAAATAAATTGAATTAATTAAATGTAGTAGCGATAATGCTACAAATAGGCTCATAAAAAATTTAATAGAAAATGTGTGAACGTGAATATCAAAAATCGAGTTCTGAATATATATTATTAAAAATAAAATCCCATTATTTATGTAAAAAATGAATTTAAGAATCTTTAGAAAAAAAATATTAAAAAATTATTTAATGAATCAAAAACTTGACCAAAAGTTCAATAATACAAGAAATCATATATTTAATAATGAAATGATAATTAGCTAGTTCAAAAGATCTAATTCATGAGCTCATAACCATCATTAGCTATTAAATCTCAAATTGGTTTGAACAATATTCAAAAAAATTGCTAATGTGACTATGCAGCTTTTACGATATTTTATCAATTTTGCGACAGTTTTGTTTCATTTTTTTTAAAGAAATTAAAACTTTGTGAGCCAATGCGGTTTGTAGTTTTCTAATCTGATATTTTCTCATTTTTTTTTAAATTTAATGATTTCAAAACTTTGCCATGATGGAATGACGCACTTAGAAATAAAATGCTCACGAACAAATTTGCATTCACATGGAGCGATTCCTATGCGCATATCTGAACAGTAATTTATGTCATCGATAAAAATCTTTAGGATTTCTAGAGAAATTGTTTTCCAAGATCATTTACATTTTTAATAGAGAATGTGACAAAAAGCTATGCTTCACGGAATGTGTGAATTAAAAACTATGAAATGAATCTCATTTAATGACAAGTCTTTTCATTACACAAGAAATGCATTTGTCTGTCTGATTTACATGACAACATTGCATTAACCTCAAACTTTTCGTCACCAAAACCACAAAAGCCACAGAGTTTTCAATTTTGAAGAAACATTTAAGCTCAAAAGTTTTAGAATGAACTAATCATAATCCACATGACACCATCGTTTATAAAATCACAATTTTCATTAAATATGGTCAGACAGCTTACACTTAGCAATTATAATTAAATGATTGATTAAAGCAAAAAAATGAGTCTCGTCTAATCAATTTTTATTGTTAAAAAATTAACATGAAATGTCTTTAAATTGTTGAAACAGAAAAGTGTATTTGTAATTAAGTAATGGTTGAAGCAACCGAAGCATAAATGCCTGATAATTATGAAAATAATAATTAACATCAGTTCCATAATTTCTCGTTCTATACTAGACTTGATAAATATTATTTACGTGGTTGAGGGAGTAAATAATTTTTTTAAAAATTTACAACTATATAATACTTCATGCTGATAACATAGAGAGAAAAAGAGAGAAGAGAGAGACAGAGAGAGAAGCTTATGAAATGTTGTACATTTTTTGCAACTTGATGTAGCCATAACACTTCCGTTATTGCTTTACTACTTAGCTTTTGCACCCATAAATTATTTTCCAGACACATTTCCCCTCTTTCGCTCACTTAATGCTCTTCACAGTATGCACGCTGGTATACAAAGACTATTTTAAATCACTGGCGCTCTCGTATTTATCACGTTTCAGCGATCATTAAATATAGATTTTTTTTTTCAAAATTAGGGGAAAAGTTTGCCTAGATAGCCATTTATGAAGGAGTAATTGAAATTAGAAATAATGTGATGATTCCTCCTTTTTCTTGGACAATATTCAAATTTTTAAATAATAGCTGTTAGATTTGTCACTCAAACAATTTAATTACACATTTCCCTTGTATGAATTTTGCAAAATAATGATTCAAATTTAATTCCAACTTTTTTGACTCAAATCTACAGTGCTGTAAAATATCCATAATCGATTCAGATAAATAACATAATTAAATTGTTTCTTATGAGAAAGATTTTAAGGACGAAGAAGAAAATTTTGGCCACAATTTCCATTTATGGCATTTGCCAACTCTATAGAAATTTTTCTAGCTCAAATAGAATTTTTCTACCACGTAATTCTCCCCTAGAGTGGTCATTTAAATATGACGTCGATTAAAAATAAAAATCTTTCTTTCGTTTCTTGTAATACAAACAATTTTTGGCATGAAACATCAGACATCTGATCCATAATAATGTTGGTCTCAATTTACGAATGAATCTAATATTTTTCTCATTTAACATCATTTCCTTTCATCTTCCACACAAAAAATAAACACGAAAACAAAAATAATGATAAAAGCGCAAAGTAGACGATTGCCAAAAAAAGAAGAACAACATCCATAAAATGTAATAAATTCATGTTGTAAGAAATCATTGCCGGTCTCTTCTTTTGTACATTTTGAAAAGTAATGAAAAAAATCAGTGTGCGAAAATTTCTTTGCCTAATTTGTCCAACAGAATGATCACTTTATTTCCATCTGAGTGAAGTTGAAAAGAGAAACTTTGAAGGTTATGAGCTCGTAAATGTTTGGCACTTTAATACTGAATAAGTAGATGGAGTAATCAGTAGACGAATATTACACAAACGGTGAATCACAATGATTCAATTACTTTTTATCTGACTTTTTATTTAGACTGCCGATTTACAATTGATGATTTTGGGGCCGTTCACTTATTATGTCCGACATTTAGAAGGGGGGGAAGGGGGGTCTAAGATTTTGTGACAGTTCAAACAATGGAAATTTTTTTCCATAGAATTTTTGTGACAGAGGGGGGGGGGGGGGGAGGTCTAAAAATCAGGTTTTTTGATGGACGTCATGAGTGAACAACCCTTTTAGATTGTGCAAATGTAACGTGAAAATTTATTAAATATAAAATCATTCCGTGAGATAAAAGATGAAAATGTAATAAAAAGTTTATTTGATCTGGAAGATTTATGTTCCTTGAAAAGATAAATTTAATTTTCTAAGAATATTTCTCGTTGTTTATTTTTCACGAAATTCAAAGAATTTTTAAGAATTTTACGGGTTTAAGCTTGAAAATTAAATGAATTCAATGCAAAAAAAAAACCTTTATAATTTCTTTTGAAAGCCTTAAGTTTAAAAATAATTAAACTACTCAATTCTAGAAAACCTTATCAAAAAACATCGAAAATCAATTAAGAAAAAGTTCTCAAAAAAATACACAATTTTCCAATTTCAACTCGAATGTGACCAACATGAACAACACAAATATTTCGAAAACATACAGCAGGCACACTTATTGACTTATTAAATATTTACTTACTATGATCTGTAAAGGTATTGTGCTGTTGTGCACTTAACATCATCTGTTTTTTGATGGTGACAAATATTTATCGAAAAATATTTTATGATCAGTAAACAGTTGAAAAAACTGATAACAAGGAATTATTTGAGAGGAAGCAAGTGTTTACAAAATAAAAGCAAAAAGAAAAGAATTTTGAAATGGAATTTTTAAAAGTAAACAAAAGAGTTGAATAGCTATTGTTCAATATTTGGGTGTCTTGTGTACAAAGAAAATCCTTTTTTGTAGCTCTTGAATTAAGTTTTTGTTGAATTGAAAAAGTGCCAATTCTAGATCCGTAAAGCAAATCTTAGGGATAACAAGAGTTCTACAGGATTTCATATTTTCTAAAAAGCTTTGAATTTTTCATTAAAAATCAATCTAGAAATTCAATTTGTAAATCTTTAAAGCCGTCATGTGCTGACAATTCTCTATTAAATGGTGCTTCTACAAAGCAAAGGACACCCTCAAAGAAGTATTGCATATAAAAAATGATCAATCTTCAATTTGTCATTCTTCAAAAGCTTTCTTTCTGCTCTTCTATCACACAACTCGAGATAGATACACAATTCAATGTGCGTGCAAACATGTATCAAATCGAAATTTTTTTTATCTATCTCTTATTTCAATAACATAAAGATAGACGACACAAAAATTGTTTGTGTGTGCAGAGAATAAGAAATGATTTGTTGAAGTAAATTAAAGTCCCAAGCACTTGAGTCATATGGTTTCGCGTCTCTCCATATCTATCCATTTATCTGTTTGCGTTCAGTCTCATCAATTTATCATCTTAGTTTGTTGATGATTTATTGACACATAAAATGTCAGATACTTTTGTGCTACTCATCTTCATTCATTTAAACATTGCGTAGAGATATTTGTATACACTTAGTCGGTATCTTTTCTCTCTGTTCTGTCTGCCTTTTGAATACCGAAACGCATTCATTTGAAACATGATACGTTTATTCGTTTCACGCGGAAAAAGTTTTTCTTTTATTTTGCGGCTCACTTTTTTTTGACAACAGTGGGAAAATGAATGAATTTCTGTTTAAGGAAGAATGTCATATTTCTTTTGGGGATTATTTCATATTTTTTCATCTACTCTCGTGTTCACTTGATGGTAACATAAGACGAGATGAAATGAGATGATGAAGGAAAGACAAAAATTTGTGCCTTTTTCACTCTCGTCTTCATCTTTTTTCGTCCGAGTCGCACATGTTTGATCTGTTTCAGTTGCGGAGAACAAATGTATTTGATATCGTAGTCTTGAAGCTGAAAAATGATTGCCAGATACATGACGAGCTCGGGTTGATTCCATTTCTTCCATTCTTGCTAAACACGACATATATTTGTATTTATAAACTTTGAAAATGCCCAAGGCGACGTTAAAGTCCTAAAGATATGTAAATATTAATCAAATTTCTTCGTCTCGAGAAGAGAATGAAATCATGGTCCACGTATTAGATGAAAAAAAAATCTCTAGTAAATAAGCATAGGAAATGGAAATCTTTATTATAATACAAAATCTATATTTATAAAAGAATGAAGTATTTTTCAACTGATCAATTCCTAGAATGTCGATTTTACTGATATTATATGAAAAAAGATAGGCTCCTTTTCCCCATGTAATCGTCCAAACTTTCTCGAACCTTTAAAGTTCAAACTATAAAAATTCATTCATAAAACATGTTTCCAAATTTTCAATATTCATCAGAGTTTACAAGTTCTGTCTTATATTTGAATAGAGTTTAACAAATGCTAAGGAAAGTTGAATGGAGTTTTTAACAGTTTTAGGGTGAAGTTGCTATTGCTGGGTAGATTCTTTCGAACAAACCTACCAAAAAACTATAATCATGAAGTTTTTGATTCCAAAAGAAACCAAATTACTTTGCTTCGTAGCCAACATCAATTAAACTTGCATTTCCATAAC